TAAATTGCCATTTCGGCTGTTCACCAATCAGATATCTTGTTGTTCATTCCCCCCAGTAAACGGAAAGCTGAATATTCATAGATTTTTCTCATATAAAATATATAAATTGCAATTGGATGGTAAAAAAAAAAAAAAAAAAAAAAAAAAAATTGGTACGTGTGGGAATCGAACACACAACCCCCAGGTTTGTTATTCATTATCCACCATCAACTAAACTGCCTTAAAAAATAAAAAATAAAAAAAATGGTTCGTATGGGAATCGAAACCATTAACCACCAGGTTTTGCTATTCATTATCCCCCATTAATTAAACTGCCTTAAAAAAAAAAAAAAAAAAAACTAAACTGCCTTAGAAAAAAAAAAAAAAAATTGGTTCGTGTGGGAATTGAACACACAACCACCAGGTTTCCCGTAACATGATTAGTCCATTTCTTTCTAATTTGCATAATGAATTTTTCAAACATTTTTGTCAATTTAAAAAAAAAGTGCGTAAGTTATGGAGATGGTAACAATCAAAAATCGATTATAAATTTAATTCTACATTTTTAGTCAAAAAATAAACCCTCTTGGCCCACGGCCCATTTTTGACACCATGTCCATGCGTAATATTGCCATGCAGTGTATATATACGAAGAATTTTTTCTAGTAGGATCAGAGTTGACTAACTGGTACTTTGTGTGGTGCTAGGTTTATCGCATTTATGGCTTAGGGGCCGCGGTTTACCTCCCTCCGTTTAGTCATGCTGGATCAGGGGTAGTAAACTCGGCGATCGTGGGTTCAATTCCCACATGGGGCAAGTTTTTTTTAAATTTTATTTTTAAATTTTTTTATTTTGTTCTTTTGAAGGTGGTGGGTTCGATACCCACACGAGCCAGTTGTTTGGTGTTTTTTTTTTTTTTTTTGTTTTGTTTTTTTTTGTTTTTTTTTTTTTTAATTTTTAATTTTGTATTTTTTTAAGGCAGTTTAGTTGATGGTGGATAATGAATAGCAAACATGGAGGTTGTGTGTTCGATTCCCACACGAACCAATTTGTTTTCCTTTAAGGCAGTTTAGTTGATGGTGGATAATAAATGTATTGTACTCGTTGATGACGTCGCGAAATAACAACAAACAACAACGTGTCATGTCCGAGCCTAGGCCGTCATGGAAGCTCACTGGCTCCTGTGTAATTCATGTTGAGCCAACTGCAGACGAGAAGGTTACAATTTTTTCAGGGATAAGCTGGAAGAAAGTTTTAGACAATCCCATCAATGGAAGCATTTTAATACTGAGGAATGGAAGTTAGCGAAGTCCTTGGCTTGCTTAAACCGTTTTTCTTCGATCGTCGCTTCCAACCGTCTAGGCGCGTCTAGCCTAAAGAGGGCCTACATAGCAGGTCGAGATCCATGAAAAGTCGTATATAAAGATGTGGGTTTAAACCCAAATCTTTATATTTACACAAGTAATTAAAATTGTTTATTGAGCAGATTAATCACACTGATAAACAATTGTACTACCTTCGGCTGATGCATATGAACTTCTATTTAGAGACATAATTTCATTATTTTCTTTCCAAAAATCTTAATAAACGTTAACTAGCACCTCATATCGACTTTTGAATGGTGAAAATCGGCTCAGTATAACCCATTTTACCGAGTACAAATTTTAAGTTAATAGAACATACTGCTGTTACATCTTCTAGTTTTCCCCCCACCGTTGTATTTAGGTACATCGCTACAGTACACACAATGAGCCTACAACTTTGCATAGCAGAGTTCCACATCTTTATATAAGTCTGAGTTAACGCATGAATGGTTTCATGGACCTTCTCAGGACTTTTTTCCTATCCCACATCTTTATAAAGTATCTAATTTTGCTGAGAGTTCCGCTTGAACAATTTCGTGGACATTTTGGTATCTGCGCATGACATGCTTCCATTGCAGGATTTATAATGTGTTGAGAAGCATAAATCTAGGAAAAGAAACCGGCAGCTGACTCTTTGGAGTTATTTTATTTTTAATTTTTATATTATTTTGCTTTTTTAAACTGCTGGCACCTAGCTATTGTAGTCTTGCTTGATTTTTTATTGCCTTTTTTTTTATCTTAAAACAAATGAATGATTGTTAGATAGGATAATTTATATGAAAGAATGGTGGTGGTGGTGCTGTTCTTTATATTTGAAAACGGAGACCTGCATACGAAAATTGAAAATTCAAAACAGAACCATTTATATTTTACGCAAAGTCAAAAAAGAAGGCCAAAGCAATGCTCTAATAATGTTTTATAGCCTATTTTTGTCTTATCTATTGGACATGAGATGTGTATATGTGGTGGCGCCAGGACCTGCCCGACGGAGGGGTTAAAGTCCCCGACGGGGGCGGGGGGGGGGCTAGTGGAGCGAATCGAGTCTCACTTGGCTGGGGACCGGGGGGGCCGCCTAGGGCCCCGGCAGGGGTCCAGGGAAGCCACGGATATTTGATTAATTATGGCGAATTTTTATTAATTAATTGATAGGCATCGAGTTACTATATTATGACTTCATGTAGGCTATGCTTTCTAATGTTGAAATCAGCTTTCAAAACCAAAACATTTTGAATAAAGCAAGAAACAAAGGGTAGGCCTATGCAATGTAACCATCTAATTTATTTTCAAATCCTCATTCTTGAAAGTGAAATTCTATATTTAGGAAATTTTGCATGAAATCTGTCAACCACGCTGTCATGGTCGAGGTTGCTTCACCTATCATGATGTATTCCAACCATCATGAGGCTATCTAAATAAGCATTTGTCATAACAGAACGCAAGTTATTTTTAATTAGTCTCATTGAATTATTATTATTGTTATTATTATTATTATTATTATTATTATTATTATTAGTATTATTAATATTATTATTAATATTATTATTATTATTATTATTATTATTATTGGTGATCCGCTAACGTTAGCGGATCACCTCTTGTTATTGTCAGGGATCATTGGTGATCCGCAACTAGTGCGGATCACCTATTGTTATTGTCAGGATCATCATCTTCATCTTTTTTTTATTCTTCTTTCTTTCTCCCCTTTTCTGTTCGCACGATATCTCAAAATTGTCACTAGTTACGCGCACGGTCGTTACATCGATCATTTTGCCTTCGCCTGGAATAGTCATGGTAAGGTTTTCAACGCGCTCAAACATGCGTGACGTCATCTACGCGCAGTTTTTGCGTTTTTACATTATCGATCATATCAGCCTAACCAATTGCCATTTCGAAATCGTATTAAGTGAGCATTAACTTTGGGTTAATGTTCAATGTACAGTACCCTAATTTGACCTTGTTTATTTTGATATCCTAGCGTAGTAAATGAATATGATGAAGCCGAACAGAATTTCAGAAAGTATTTATTTTATAATTTTGGCATAAAGTTGTAAACTTGGCCCCTAATAAGATAAACCTTCAAAACTGTAGAAGCAGTGGGCGAAATAATATTATTATTATTAAATGTAGTATACATACTCAGCTGAGAGAGAGAGGAACGCTATCCTCTTTTGCTGTGAACCTGTTCTGCGATGTATCATCCAGAAAATCAAAAAATTAAATGTGTTTTGTGTGTATTGCTATTTAGTGTGTTAATTAATAAAGTACACTGGCCCTAGGCCTATTCTTACTTTACAAATAAATGTAGGATCATATCCATACCAGTTGCCAGTAAGAATTTTAAATTTAATACACTTGCTTCCGTTGCTGAATTTTTCATTTGTAAAACATGTTGCCTGCCCATCAGTCTTTGTATTATTTTTATGTCAGTGCATATATTTTTTATATTGTAATTATCAGTATTCCTATACTGATATTAGTCATTCCAGGGCAATGAATCAAATGAATCAGAAAATTAAAAACATGTTTTATGCATCTCGGCCAAAGTTGTTTGCAGCTGATATGGTCTTACACCTATTTAGGCCTAGCCTAGTCCATTAAAAAAAAAATAGCCAATGAGTGATTAGGTCATATTAATTTAATTGTTTCTCTCAAGGTTCTCCTGTTTCCAAAAACCTAATGTGGAATGTTTTTTTTTTTTTTTTAAGTTTTTTGTTTTTTAAATATGTGTTAATAAAAATTGTTATTGTTCTGGGTTTTTAAAAGGTTCATTAAATTATAGGATTCTCTTCAATTTTATAGTGTATGAACAAACGACATGTTGCAGGCTATTAAAGGAGGTTCAAGACATACAGTATATTTTTTTTTTAAACTAAATTTTGTTTTGAAAAAAGAATGTTTCTAACTTTTTACGCAAGAACAACGCACATAAATTTACTAATGCGTGCGGGAGCTTTGAGACAATTAAATGAATATGGCCTTACAATCATAGTTGCCCGTGGCTAAATCCTTGTTAGTTGTCCATTGCTAATGAACAGGTTAATACGGTAGGCCTATAATTACAAAGGTTTGGAGTTGTTAAATACCGAACTTAATAATTTTCATACAGACTAGCACTGCAGCCAATCATTGCCAAAACAGGCTGGTGTAACTTTATTCAACTGTTATACATTATTCTAATAAGCTGATTATAGATAAACATAGACTAACAATCAGAGAAACACACAAGCCCTTTACTATTCAACTGTAAAAATAGAAAATGTATAAAGAAAAAAAAAAGGAAGCTAAACACTAGGAAAAAATGCTTAAGATTTTTTACAGTAAGTGTTTGAAAGAATTTTAACTTTGAACATTGAGATGGGATCAGAAAAAACTGTATAACAATGCAAATATTGATTGTAGCTTATCCTACACTTTTTTTTTATAAGAACACATTTTATAAGAACACTGAGGCTGAAATTGCTTAAAATTAAGAACAAAATAAGAACAAATTGAGGCTGGGGTTGTAAAATGAGGTTTTTGTCTTAAAAAAAAAAATAAAACCAACAAATATTATCTGTACCTTATTTGCAGTACTATAGGTGTGATATATATAATACCCTCTGGAATACACTACAATAATATACTACTGTACAATAATAATGTTTGAAAAGTGCGAAAAAATAAGAACAACATAAAAATATTTTCAGGCTGAACACTGTGCCCGAGCAAAATTTTCCTGGTTCTTATGAAAAAAAAAAGTGTATTTAGTAAAAAAACAGCTGATTTTTGTGCTTGAACAGAACACTCAAGTACGAAGATGCGTGGTAACCTCAAACTACAGATAGCAATTGACACCATACAAAAAGTTGCAAAGGCGAAAGGATTGTCGAATGATGACATCACCAATCTTCTTGATGTAGCTGCCAGTGCCAGATTCTGTAAGTCTTTATATAGTTGTTAGTGTTATTAATTTTATAGGAGCGTGTGGCGCAGCTTGTAAGGTGTTGTGTAGTTTAATAATATCTTTAATTCTTAAGCCCCCACTATAGAATGTGACATGCCTAAATATGGTCATGATAACACATCATGTCATGTATCAAATATGGTCATGATATCACATGACCATATGTATATAATGACCATATTAGGCACACCATGACTATATATGTGCACATCATGACTATATATGGGCATACAGAAGTATTTTGTCAAAGAAAATCTGATAGATCTGATGGATTGTAATATTTGTTAATTTTGATGACTGTGTATATATAACTTTTTTTCAATAATTTATTCTATAGTTTAATTGGATTGTGAATTTGATAAATTTCTTTTTTTGTATTGTTGCTACCTTTGGTGTAATTTTTTCTGATACTTATAACATATATATATATTTTTTTTGTAAACCAACGATTTCAGCCTACAGGCTGCCTGTTTTGGTGTTATATTTTTATACCGTGAATAAAAAAATAAATAGGGTGGAAAGAGCCTAAAGTAGCTGATTCCTGTGCTATCTTTTAAATAGCTGATGCTGTCAATTCGAAGCTCATCAAGTTCATGTTGCCAAATACAAGACTTTCTCAACAAATCATCATTAACTGCATTTCATGGATCTGTACAAACACACCATCTCCAGAGATACAGGTAAGTCAGTTAATAGACACATTGCACCTAAGGTAATGTTCTTCAAGCCATAAAGTTGATAATAAAGGATTTTAAGAAGGTCAATTTACATAATATTACAACTCCAAAAAGTTGAAAACATGCCAGTTCTTTAGAAATGAATATGGATTTGTTTGTTTTGATGTGACTATCAGATTTTATTATAAATGACAAAATAAGTCAGCCATTGTGTTTCATTAGTGAAATTAATAATTTAATTAGCATTTTGTCTATATTAAGCTAAATGAATTAATGAGGCCTGATACTACAGAGAGTAGGACCTTAGGGTTTGGATCCCCAAACTTGTTTAGCTAATTGTAACATAATTTATACTGTATACTGTAATATTATAATATATTTTAAACTAACTTAACTCATTTTTTAAGTATTTGAATTATAAGTGTAGACATAATAATTGCACCTGTATCATTCTTAAAAGTACTATATGTAGGTCTTAACTGTTTGTTTTTGTGAATAGTATAGATTAATATTTTTGAATTAATTTTGGTTTATTGATTGGTAGGCTCTACTATGCAGATGGATGGTTTTAGTGTTTGATGTGATTGATGCTAAGGACAAGATACATTCTCTCTATGGTGTCATCTTCAATTTTATTGAAAGTGATCTCCTGGTAAGTTTTATTTTTATTTCATCATTCAGTGAAAGGCCCTGTCAATTACTACATACAACACATTTCCATGTTTTAAAAAAAATTTAGATTGATATTTAGACTTCTAAATCAATAATATTGATAGCAAACATAATACGGCTGCAAGATGTACAACTTGTTGAAACAGAATCCTATCTCAGAAAGTAATATCACAAACTAGAGGGGCACCCTTCAGAAGAATGTTTGGAACATGTATGGAACATGTACTGTGTCTATAGAACGCATGTTTGAGTTCCAGTTTCCATTTGTATTCTAATAGGGCGCCCCCTATCTTGTGGTAGTACTTCGCTTTTCTTTTTGTTTTGTGCATGCAAAATACTGTCATTACACTATTTATATTAGTACAAAGTATAGTCGTAGTCTTAGTCGGTGAGGCTCTGAAGTAAATACTTATTTTTGTGCAAGCATTTAACACATTTTTTTTATACTGTTATGACTTTATTTTCATATTAGACTATTTTCTTTAATATCGATTAGATAATTGGATGCTAGTTCTTCATCTAATGAATATTATTTATACAAAAAATGAATGCAAAATGATTTGATATTGGTTTTGTAGAACTTCTTGATTGTGATGATGCTGGAAACAACCCAAGAGCAGAGCACCTCCTACAGCTACTAATCAATTTCACCGAGTTCTTGCAGGTCAGTCAATTATCTGTTATTTAAGGCCTTAATGCAACAATGCTCCCATCATAACCTGTCTCTTATACACATCTAGATGTGTATAAGAGACAGGGATATCAGCTTATAATCCCATAAGGCTTCAACTAAGATTTACATAGTGTAATGTATCTGTGGTGTTGTGTATACAAAATCATTCAATTTCCAACATATTTTTTTTTTCACCCACAGAAATCTAAACGCAGAAAACAGGAAGTGATTCCATCCCTGTCATCAAGCAGCTGGGGTCAGGATTCTGGCTCCTTTAATGTACTCATCTCAGAAACGACTAAGGTACCAATTAGCCAAATCACAACATTTGATGAACTGCTTGTGAATCTAGACAGGCTGGAGGTAACCATTAGTTTTTGTTATTTCAATGTGCTTTACAATGATCAATGTTTATGTGCATTAGTAGGTAGTTTTTGCCGCATGATGTTAACCTTAACTTTAACGTTATTACCCAACATGCAGCGTGATAGCTCCGCCCCTTTTGTAAACAAATCGAAATAGGCATGCGCAAACCCTTAACTAACGTATTTCAATCATGTAAAATCCTGAAATTAACATACTCCGCAACGCAAGATGAATAAATTATGACATCATCCGTTAAGGTTAACGTTGTACGGCAAAAACTGCCTATTATCCACCGAGTACGTTTATTAAATTTGTGATTAAAGGTCGTATAAAGAGTTGACATGTGGGTAAATGTGTTTGTTCTTGACGGTGTGGTAGCGATAGTATTTCCATTTTACAAGCTATTTTTAGTTGAGAGATAAGGCGTGATTTCTTTTTATACCTTGTTTAGTGAACCCTCCGTCTGCCAATAATGATGATTTTAAGTAAGAATAAAATGTTATTTTTGGCCAATTATTGCACCCGCTGCCACAAAAAAAAAAAAAAATGGAAAATTCTAGAAAAAAATAAAAGTGTTACTTTATTTTTATTACCTTGAAATCTCCAAAAATAAGATATGTATATTTCTTCCTAATTATGTAAATTTAAAACATTTAACCATCCCATTACCAAACTGTTTACATTCACCAATAACATTTTGTTTTTCTTTTTGTGGATGTTTTTTGGAAAATGATTTGCTAAATAAGAAAACAAAATTCCATTTTTTTTTTCTGCCCTCATCTGACATTTAAAAAAAAATTGTTTGCGAAACAAGGTATAGAAAAAGTAAATTCCTGTTTATACATACTTCTAAGATAACGATAAAAAAGCTAAAAAGCGATTGTTGATATAGAAAACAAAAGAAATAAGAGTGGTCTTTACACTAGAACGATTCAATAATGATTTATCATGTATACGATAACAAAATATTTTAACAAATTAAATCAGATAATGTCATAATCATGATTTACTACTACGACTTAAATAAAACAGGCCTTTATTTTATCTGTTATTGTTTTTAAGGTAAGGGAGAGTTATAAATGTGGTGTTTGCCAGTGGGGTAGAGTAGTGTTGCACATTTTGCATTAGCTGGCATGGTAGGGAAACATAAAAAGAAAAATTTATGAGGTAAATAATTTGACATCTGTGTACATTTTCCACAGTTACCTAGTCAAATAGCTGCAGTGTTGCAGTCACCTTTTCTACAGCATGCTGTCTCATGCACAAGAGATGAGAACATTGTACAAAGGCTTAGTTTCTGGCTCTATCAAACATTACATGAAGGTATTAATGAGTTGCATATCTGTTTTCATATTTCTAAATGTTATGGTACATATATTGTCATTACACTTTTTATATTAATACAAAGTATAGTCATAGTCTTAGTCGGTGAGGCTCTGAAGTAAATACTTATTTTTGTGCAAGCATTTAACACATTTTTTTTATACTGTTATGACTTTATTTTCATATTAGACTATTTTCTTTAATATCGATTAGATAATTGGATGCTAGTTCTTCATCTAATGAATATTATATATACAAAAAATGAATGCAGAATGATTTGATATTGGTTTTGTAGAACTTCTTGATTGTGATGATGCTGGAAACAACCCAAGAGCAGAGCACCTCCTACAGCTACTAATCAATTTCACCGAGTTCTTGCAGGTCAGTCAATTATCTATTATTTAAGGCCTTAATGCAACAATGCTCCCATCATAACTATGCCACATGTTTCCTTCTCTGCAAAAAAGGCCTTTTGATATGTCTCTGGTCTGCTCCCTGTCAGCGATAGGCGTTGTGACGCTGTCTGCCGATTGTTGGTGGCAGCCTGAACAGATCATCATTAAAGACGATCTGTTGCCTGCATCGTCGCATTGCATTCTTCATAGAATCACGTCGGGTGTAGTGAGTGATCGGCCTTAAAGTCAGGCTCCGGAGGAAAAAAGTGTTTTGATATGTTGTAGATCTGATTTTTCTAAGACAGAAAAAAGTTGTTTGATGGAAAACTGGGGAACAGTGAATGACATACAGATTTTTTAATATTTAAAAACTAGGGGAATAAGGTGTAAAAATGGTCAGTTACGCCCCTTTTTCCCCCAGTTTTTAAATGTTAAAAAATATGTATCTCATTCACCGTTCCCCAGTTTTTCGTCAAAAAACTTTTTTCTGTCTTAGATAAAACAGTTCTACAACATATCAAAAAATGTTTTTCCTCCGGAGCCTGACTTTAATTGCAACAGAATCACCTAATTTTTAACTGTGCCTCCATATTTGTAACAGAATCTTGTTTGCAAACTATACAGTATACTTTATTCTTTAAATCCACTTATCTTTTTTTGTAAACAGTATTTGAGGAAATATTTTAATATTTTATGTAAATCACAATGTACTTCAAATGTTTCATTCTCAGGAGGATGTGCCAGTGTCTGAAAGCTTTTTAGTCAAGTACTTGTACGTGTGGAATGGTTTGGACTATCGGCCGTACATACTACGACTCATCACTAGGTTCAGAGTACATCCCTTTCAAAGTAAGTGCATGTTTTTTCCTGTCGTCTTGTAATGTATGTCATCAAAGAGTTGGTTATGGTTCCCATTCTTTTCCCTTACATTTCTAACTGTAGTGCTTGCCATAGAAACACTTCAACTATTTATTGTTTTGTGCTATGAAAAGCATTAGGCTGCCCCTTTCAAACAACTTTAATTATTGTATGAACTGCACTTGAACAGATATACTCTGTGCTGTCAAAATTCATATCATTTGACACGCATGCCAAGTACAGTGTGTTGACAGATGACCAATGGCTGGTAGCACCTCGTCTGATAAGAGTAATTTTGACATAGTTTCTGCAGACTGCATTATACTAATATGCTCCTACCAGGAGGATATTTTTTTCTCATGTACCTCTGCTTTTATTTATGCATTTGATTTTTTCAAGTTGTATTAAGACATTAACTTTTAATTGGAAGCACAACATGTTTTATTAGTTGGATCAAGACAAGAATGAGAACCATGAATAGCAAATAGCAAATTGATTCAGTCATGACATCAGTGTACATACAGTCAATTCTAATGGTGATTAGTAGTAGTAAATGAGTCTATACACGGTAACTTAACCAATCACAGCAATTATGGCTCAGGATAATAGAAGGATGTGGATTACATAATATTTACCATTGTTTTTCTTCTTGTCCTAAAATTAACTATTTTTTTGTCTTTAGGATTAAATGACCTGCTTTTGGAGCCTCTAAGGAAGCTGTTTTTCTGCTCATCAGTCTACTTTAAGTGTCAATTGATCTACTGCCTTACAGAGTTGCTGCGGCATTATCTGGAGGTGGAGTTACCGAAGCATAGGGCAGCTTATACAAGGAGGAAAGTTGGTGGTGGTGGAGATGCAACAGATGAGCATTTGGAAATGAACTGGTATGATTTTGTCATTTTGTGTTCGTGTGAACTAATTTCAGACAAGATTGGTTATTAGACATAATTTTACCAACGGGTAAACATAAATTGAAACTAGATCAGGTGTTGGTTCCACTACCTAAGCCTCGCTATTCTCTGCCACTTGAGCGTTGATGGGCTGACGGTGGCCAGGCCTAGCATGAACCAAAAGTGGAACAGCATGGTCTACCAGCCTAAACCGGCTAAATTTACAAGAACCAAAGTAGTGCTTGTTTGATGATGACGTCATCAAGAGCAAAGATCATTCGTAAAATTGATTATTCGTAAATCAACATTTCACTGTACCACTAAGATTTGAGCTAACACTTTTTTTACCTTTGTTTTTTAGTAGTGTAGCTTTACATTGGTGGTTCAGTCCTTGCCCTGCAATCTTAGGGTGCTTCAAATTTAAAAACAGGATTTATTATCTGCAAGTAAAACCAGTTTCCCACTAGACAAGTTTATTTGCGCTAATCGAAGGCATTGGTTCGGTTTCTGAGCTCTGATTTGTTGCGAACATTTTTCGCTTTGCAAAAAGTAGAAACAGTTCAAACTACCAATTTCACTGAAGCAAAATCTCCGATAGAAATGTAAATGTGCATGCGCATGAACGACGCTTTCGATTCATGCGAAAGCATGAAAAACCTAGTGAAAAACTGGCTTTATATAGCTTCACTATCTTAAGTCCTTTTCAGGCTATCAAATTTCATGTGACAAATACTTGTGACATGCCTAAATATGGTCATGATGACATCACATCATAACCATATATTGGTACATCATGACTATATATGGGCATACAACAGTTTTTTCAAAGAAAATTTGATAATCTTGACAGAGTTAAGCACACTGAGCCCTGTTGAAAACATTATCCCATTTTAGGTAAATAATAACTATTTTCTTTTTTTTTTTTTATTTATAGTGATTCAATGTTTGAAGAGGTGTTAGATCCTGAACTAGCAGTGGACACAATTCAACAATTAATTGTCTTTGTTGATGATATCAGTTGCGTTGCACTCCAGCAGGAAAATGATCACACCTTGCTTCTTTACCATGTTTTCTCATTTTATGAGCTGGTAAGTGGATTTTAAAGCCCTGACCAGACTATAAAATTTTATTTGACAAAAACATGTGTCATGCGTGAATATGGTCATGATGACATCACATCAGGACCTTATGTGGCAAAGACAAGCCAAACCAGTCACTTGTCGCAAATCGTGTTTCAGAGATAATGACCAAAACATGTTGGAATCTATTTTATTGCACTAAACTAACCTTTGTATGTCTATAAATATCATGCTATGCTGTTATTTTTCCCATTTTCGATATTAAAATAACAATTTTTAACGATTTGGTGATGGTTTCTGCTTGAGAAATGCCCGAAATCATAAACTTTGAAGGCTGATTTCTCAAATATTGTTCTTTAAACAGCTGTATGTTTGAACTCCTGTAACTTCATAACAAAATGTCGGATTTATTTTAAATGATTCTTTTACCATTTGGGTCATTCCATGTCAATTCACCCAATGGGTTTAACCAGACCGACTCCGATTTCGATGAAAATTGGTATACATGTTGGGTTTGGCATCAAACGCGCAAATCTAAAATTTTAGCTAAATCGGATCAATATTTTGAAAGTTACGGCCCGCCCAAATATGGCAAAATTGGCCAAAACGGGTGTGGCCACCAACATTTAAACTTAATATCTCAGCAGTGGGTTGACCGATATTCATAAAATTCATATTTATAAAAAGAGAATTAACTAAGGAATATAAATCTGCCATTATTTTGAAAAATTGACCTTATGTAATGTCAATGATCTTTTGACCTTCTTTTTTATCTCAAATTTGACCTTGTAGATCACGTGAAATTTTATATATGGGCATGATGATGACATGTTATATCCAAATTTTGTTGTCACTTAAATTTGATTTGATAGTATGGACAGAGGTTAACATTTGGAAATTATATCAAACATTTATAAACCAACTCTTGTTTGTAGCATTCTGTTGTGAGTATTAATTACTTACATAAAATATCAGTATTTATAAGCACACCCCCAATTTGGGACCAGAATTTTGGTATTTGAATGTATGTCTTATGAATGAGCTGACCCTTTGTTTAAGTCGACCTCCAAATCGTAATGGTTTGGATGCATTATCTTTGTATAACCTGACCTATATTTTAAAACTTGTATTCATTTCAAAATGTACTTACACATTTTATAGCATTTAATTAAATCAAACATGACAATTATGTATGTAACTCCTGAAGAAAATCTGTGACTGCAAGAGGTTAAAAGTTTTCAGGTTTTTTGTTCAGATTTGTTGATATGTAATACATTTGTATATTACATGTTATTTTCTAAATAGATCACTTTCTTTTAATAGTTATCTGATGCTCCACACCTATTACAAGTATAAAGCTATTGTTAATCACTACTGTTAGGTCACATTGTGTTTACTAATTTGATCACTTCCTGTTATTAGGTGTCTGTAATTTTCCGCACCTACAGCATACCATTTGTCAGTGTACCAACACCAGGTATCGTTTATAGGGCCATGCTGTCAAACAATGCTGTAGCATTATGCCGTTTATGCAAAGTTGTTTGCAAGTGAGTGTTATTGTAGATTTGTTTTTTCATTACTGTAGTTCGTTAAACTGCTGACTAAACTACTACAAATCAAAAGTCAATCAAATTTTTCTTTGTCATTCAATTGTTGTTTTCTCTTAACTTGATGTAGTTACAAGGAAGAATTCAATACTATGAAGACACTTGAACATAGTTCTTTAAAGGTTTGTTTTTTTCATTATTTTATAAAGTATATTAGAATAATTCAGGTTTATTTTATTTATTAATTATTTTTTAAAAATCACATAAAAATATTCAATATAAAAATAGAATTGTATAAAAATATGGATATACTAAGACAGGGAGTACTGAACAGTAATACAAACAGTTGATGTGTTTTGCAAGTCATAACTACTGTACATGGGATAGAACCCAACGTAGAGACAAGCTCTTAAATGAATTAAGTAGTCTGGTCATGCATGGAATTGGCCTGTTCATGAATCTGGTTGTTCTGCAGCATTATTACTTTTAGTATCATTATCATTTCAGGGTAATCTTAAAGAAGGAATCAAAATACTGAACCAGTACATCATTGACATCAGCAATGCCTTATGGAGAAACATGTCATTCCAGGGTACATCCAAGACAATGATATTCGACATCCCAATCGATATTCTTGAACGTTCCCATGTCCGACACATCAATGTCATATTCTCCATCCAGCACCACATGGCCCTTTCTGGTTATTCCTACAATTTCCTGAAAGAGGTGAGAAATGAAAACAAGAATTAAGGGCTGTTTTTTTCTCTAAAAGTAGACAAAGCTAGTCCAATACAGTCGTGAATTCAGGCAATTATGTATGATATGGCTTCCCTCACATAAAAAACCCGAAGTGAACATAAAATTCAAAGTAGAGGTAATCCCGTATTCATTACTGAACATAGGGGAATGATCTGTTAGCCCATTGTACTAAGCCTCGGCATTGTGTGGTAGGGTGCCCAGTTCTTTTCCACTCTGCTTTTTAAACCAGGTACCCAATTATACTCCTGGGTAGTACACTAAATCTGCATTTACTTCAGCATTAAGTTAAACATGTTCACTATCTGTTAGCTGAACAAAATCATATTATAGTACATACAATAAATGAAGTTTTATGTGACACACTTGTGTAAATTGCACATATAAGCATGGTAATGTCATATCAAATCCAAATATGGGTGTGGTGATGCTATGTTTCATTTCTGTACTTATCTGTTGAAATTCAGATGCTGTTGTACTAGGAATCCTTAACAGAAAGTAGTGGATTTTGTACATTGAGAATGATGGAACTAATGCTCCAGGGGAGAATAAGAGTTGGATAAAGTGCTATATAAATACTAGAAACAATATGTCTTTATTGTCATAAGCAAATTGAGAAGCTATTAGATACATTGTCCCAAGACATTCAGCAATCAATATATAAAAGGAAACACCAAACCAAAACAATTAATTAGTTATCTTTTGAAATCTCTGTTATATAAATATAAAGGATAAAGGATTGCCTCAAGCGTTTTGAATTATAAGTACCAAATGTTGTTATGATTAATTTTGTTTCCATCTTGAACAGACTCAGGCAGATGAGAAATACCACCCTATCCAGATCAAGGGGAACATCCGCATCGTGTACCTACAGTTCCTTAGCAACGAAGGTCTAAACGGCATTGTTGAATTCATTAACACATTCATCAAGAGAGGGAGCTCTACAAGCCAAAAGCAGTGAATCCTGAATGTGGCTATGTTGATTATGTTTAGGATAAAGTAATTTTGATAAATTTTTCATGTTGTATACCATTAAAGATATACTGTCTGTGTTAAGGTAACACATGAAATTAACTGTAATATGTTAATTGCTTACTTTGTGTAGTATTATAAAGTATAATTCAATAACTTCCAATTGAAAATTAGAACTAAAATTGTTTTTACTTGATTATCAACAGACTCAAGGTCATTGGATTGATGCTTAAATTGACTGATAATTATTATTTTAACAACAAGCCTTTAAATATTTTAAAATAAATTGATTCTTTTTGTTTCGCCTCATGTGAATTATAATATTTTAAAAAAATTAAGTGAACAATTCAGTGTTTTAATTAAATATTTGAGGGTTTCTTCACTCTCTAGTTAGAATAATAAAGATAAAAGACATTTGTGAATTTGGCACCACATAAAAGTGGTCTTAATTGGAGGGGTCTTTAATTAGAGAGAGACCTTTTTTTTGTAAGCACACACATGATGATGATTGTAACAATATACTGGTACTTAATTTTAATAACTTCCAATTGAAAATTTATTTTTACTCTACTATCAACAGATATAGTAATTGGATTGGTGCTTAAATTGACTGATAATGATTATTTTAGTAACAAGTTTTAGACTATTCAAAAATTTAATTCTTTCTGTTTTTGTCTCACATGTAATTATTTCATTTTTTTGTGTTTTTAATTAAGTGAGCAATTCAGTGTTTTTCAGATTTTATCACTAACAATATATCTTTCTAGAGTTTCAAACTTAACTGAACAATCCGAATGTGTTATTCTGTAGCCAGGAGTACTTGCATTTCCCACACACACATGCACAAATTTACATACGTTTAAAATCCTCTCATTCATCGGTACCTTAGCAACAGAGGGCGGGGCTTAGTGGACAGGTCCGTTGTACTATAAACATGTAATTTATCAGTGGAGCTGCTGTGATTTTTTATGAAAAATTTTAATGATGATTATAAAATTTATAATTTAAATATGATGATGACAATATTTTTATGATGACAATATTATGTTGAAAATATATTGTTGATATATTGTGATGATGATAATGTTGGTGATGATGATAATGATATGAATAATATACATTAGTGCTATGTGCTTTTTTAAGATAATTGACTTTTGTGGTAGAGATAATGTTGCTGTTGATGCTAATGTTGCAATGATGATGATTGTAAAAATGTAAGTTTAATAAGTAATTGAAGAAAAAAAATTGCTTTACAGAATGAAAACATTTTATAATAATAATTACATTAATTTGCATAAATGTTAAAAACATTGATGAAAAACAATAGTTTTAAAATATTACAGTATTTAGTGGTAGACTATGTGTGTTAAACAATTATATATCTTAGCTGCTAACTATATTTGAATTAATAGCTTTCAATTTAAAAGTAGTAAGAATATTATATTCTTGAGTGCTCACATAATATCTTTCCTATAATGTTTTGTATAGATACTGAAATTAGCTGGTACTAATATTTAGAATTTTTTTAATAATGTTTCTGTAAACCATCCAAATTGCTTGTGTTTTTTTTTTAACCTATGTGATACTTATAAATATATGCTATGTTAGTAATTAATTTTTTTAGGTTTTAATATTGTATAACAGTTGGTGAATGTAATAATACATTGAACATTTTTTAAAATATAATTTTGTACCTTCCTGGTATGTTTGTCCAGTTGTGGCATCGCCTACATTTTCATAATATACAATACAGAATTATAGTGTGTCTGTCTGGGAGTATATTCATCTGTGGCTGACTAGAAACAGCCTGCAAGACGAGTATTCTATTTCATGGCAGCAAATGTGTCTATGTCCTAAAATTCAAGCTGTGTTTGGATTTTTAAATTACTAAACAGAGAATTATATTGCCGCTCACTTCACAAACTAGAAAGTAGACTGTGAGCTTGCAAAAACAAAAAAGTGTGTAAACCCCCCCCCCCACAACCCATTGTTATGCCCACCCCTGCTCTATACCAATACATTACAACAACAACATTACTGAACAACACTATATTGATTATGACATACTAGTGTGTATATAGTACATGTGGTTTAAGATAAATAACTTAATATTTTTATTAACAACTTTTATTAATCTTGAATTTAATATAGATAGAAACTTTTTTGTTAATTGCATGGTAAGCTACATGGAATTGGACATGATAATGTGTTATTTGTGGTTCCAGCTCTCAAGGTTATTTACTTTCAACAATTTTCATTGTGTAATGAGAGGTCAGGGGTCAAATTGATATTCATTCATCTGTTATATTAATTATAATTCTTCATTTGTTCTCATTTTGGAAAATAGTAATTTGGGCTGGGAACTCACAGCACAAGTTACCTCTCAGGAAGATGCTCAGCTTAATATTTTATTGTTTACATTTTGATGGTTCCCACATTCAAATAAGAGATTAAGTTTTTAAATTTTATTGTTAATTTGGATTGATTTTAAAGGCACTTTTTATGAATTTTGCTAGAGTTGGTCTGTGTTGACAATGTAAATATGTGAATATGTTATAAAACTCTACTATAACTTATATTATTATCTGTGCATTGGTGTTAACAGTGCCATTTTATGACAGCCCCAATTTGTACATTTCAAGCAATAATGTTTAAAATAAAAATTGTGCTTTATAAAAAAAAAAAGAAAGACTAATTGTATATAATTTGCTCTACCTCTGTTCATAAGGAAAACAAAAGTTAAAAACTTTTTTTTAAATTTGGGAATGTTTTAATGATTGGTGTAGTGTTAAATATTATGACAATTTAATTGTAATGATATTGCTGATGTGGTAATTTTGCAATGATATTGTTGATGTGATTATATTGGTAGTAAGTACTGTGATTAATTAGTTTACTGTTAATTAATAACAGTCCATGGCCTTTTGAAGTGAATTTAGTCCATCCAAAATTCACTCGTTCATCGTCAGGTATACCATTATTATATATATGCACAAAATCAATACAAACCGTGCGAATAACTTCTTCCTCTAAGTACAATAAACAAAATAGCGTTTTGAAAACAAATCACATATTACTTTTAAGAAATATGTTCATTTTACAATAATATTTTAAAATTTGTGTACAAGAAGATACGAAGAGTTTGCCAGGGTATCAAAGATTACGAAACTCAAACATCGTCAGTGATTGGTTGCTATAAATAACTCGTGTCGTAATCGGTATATAAACTACGAGCAAGAGATGTTTATTTTCAGTCATGACTGAAATCGTATCCTGTGGAAATGTATAAAATATTATTTGCAATGGGCTTCCTTCATTATTGTGAAGCTTATAGTTGACATTGAATGTTAAAACATAGCATCAAGTTGATAAAGAGAGGTAAAGTCTTTTTTTTTTATTCCATAATACGATTATTTGTTATCTAGTTCCTACTTAGCCTAGGCCTACATCATCACGAATCACACAACACAGTCACAACAGACAGACAGGGCCTTACCTGGCTAGGCCTAGGCTGGGCGAGCATGTAGTGCCGACGTGGGTGTGGTAGTACTATCTAGTAGGCTTTGCTTCATAAAGTAATTCATATAATTATACTGTTTTTCAGTGATATTATCATTTAAAATTTATAGAATAAGTTATTCATGATTCATTGTACAATTGTACATACTGTAATTTCATAATATTGCAGTTTAACATGGAACTAATGGGGCAGCTGACTCTCAATGAGTTATTAAATAGTAAAATTTTGCTTAAGCTGCCCCTGACCATAATTTTTGTTGTACTGTACCTTTTGTAAATGTGTATTGGTCGAATAAATAAATGAAATGAAATGAAATGAACTCCTTTAGAGTACTGTATTAAATACAAGCTGTAGCATAAGGCTACAGAAACAGGAACATTGAGTACTGCGTGGTCTTCAACTCACTTTCCTTCATTCATTCATTGTTAGTACACTCAAATTTTTATTTCTTTTTTCACTGAAACAACAGGAGAGACAAAATGCCTTCAAAATCAAAATCGTGTGCTGCTTCTGGAAATCTTGATGTTAATGTGAAGCTTTCAAAATCAGGAAGAACAACCAACTTTCACTTACCTCCTAATAAAACGGTAAAGCCTACCTTCTTAGCTTTGAAGATTAACATTGTTTTATGTTGCTGGCCCTGCAACTATCGCATTTGTGGTCACTACACCACTAGCCATACACCATGGATATGTATTTTGAAACCCATCCCCTCCTAGTATTAAACTGTAACAATATTCATTATTGTATATTGTTGTTTTGCTATGTAGGCCTATATACAGTCACCGCCTTCAGCATCATCATGATCATTATTGAAAATTATCATTGTTTTAATGATATTACTTGTTCTTATATTTATTATTATGTTATATTATTGATAAGTTCAAATTTCATGTTTTATATATTATTGATATTTATTATATTTATTTGGGATCAATTATAAATATAGGCCTACAATTTTATATTGACCAAAAAAATACAGATTTTTTGTTTTGATTTGTTTTTGTTGGTGTCTTAAACCATTTAAATTAACATGCTGTATCTATTATCCTAACTCTTTAATTTTTGAAATTTAAATTTCTAGATTGAAGATGTCTGTAAGCAGGTTGCTGATGAAGAGAAGGTATCTGCCAAACAAATTATTATCAAGTATACTGGCAAGATATTAAACAGATTTCATACACTCAGCTTCCTCGGTGTTCGACCTGAAACAGTTCTAAAAGCAGAGGTTTGTTAAATGATTACACCTGTCCATTTCTTATATGATTCAATATTTTTATCTTTAGCAGAAGTATACTTTTAGCAAAAAAATTATTTGAGACATGTTGTTGTAAAATAGTTTAGTTAGAGTAGGCCTACTGTATGTAATCTTTAAAATGATGGGTCAGTCATTGAAATGGGATATTTGAAGCCTTAGTTATTAGTGAAGTACAACTCCCTAATCATACAGATAATTTTGAGTAACCACCTACTTTGTTTGATTCTGGTAGGGTATGCTTTATTGAAGACAAATCTGATCGGACAATATGTCTGTTGAAAGTGTGACAATGTAATGGTCTTGATTCATCAAGTAGTAATTGTCTGTTGTGTTTGACAAACAGAAAACTAAAGCCGAATTCATACTGGACTTTTTGTGGTAATACTAACCTGCTGGTAAATCTTATAAAAAAAAAACTCCAGTGCGAACAGCCCAGTAACTATTTCTAACCGGAAGATATACCGAGCCAGAGATTAAGTTTCACTGAGTCCCAGGTGCCCAGTAAAATTTACAAGTTTCACCGAGCCAAAAAGTCCAGTTCAAATAGCACAACTTCTTAAGTCGCCTTCACTGGCATAAACTTTGTCTATTGGTGTATCTAGAAGTCTTGAATTCGGGGGGCTGATGGGGGCGCGAAGGTGAAGTGGCGGGGCTTGATGATCAGTTGAGGGGCGCTAATTCGCAAAATATGGTGATTTTTAACTACTTGACCGTGATTTTGGGGGTGACCGGGGGGGGGTGCATCCCCGTGCCCTCCCCTATGTATGCATACGCCATTGCCTTTATTGGTCAGCTCATTAGTTGCTTTTCACGCCCTCAGTAAGTCTTTCTGAGTGAACGAATCCAATGGTAAGATTTCCATTGGAATGTTTACTATAATGATCTCTGTAAGAATTTTACCAAAAAAAGTCCAGTGTGAATTAGGCTTAACAAGTTTACCTGGCTTACCTCCACTATTGATGAAGAGTAAACTTCATTGTCTGGTTAGAAAGATATGAATTTTAAAGTATACAAACTGGTACACATGTATTATCTTATACCTGTTCTTTATTAACTATCAAGTTTTTTGTATTTTTTGTCAAAATTAATAAAATAAATATGAAATAATATACTTTATTTAAATTTATTTTGATGCCCACTGTTAATCCATCAAAGCACTTTTGCCACTTGTAAAGTATTACAAGTGAAGTGAAAATATACTGAACTTCCATATGTAATATTTTTGTATTCATCAGGTGGTTACAGTAGAGAAGTACAACATATATGTTCAGAAGGAGAATGGTGAAACCTTCCCAATGTGTATTGAGAATATAAGTACCATTCAAGAAGTCAAGAGTATGTTAGCTGAAAGGTTGGAAGTTGGATTATCAAATAGTGTTGAGATAGAGGTCAGTTGGTGCACAATGATATTCAGAAAGTTGTAATAAAAATATTACCTTAAAAAATCGAATTGAAACCCAATGGGCCTAATCTCAAGATGAAGCCCATCTCGAATTGAAACTCCCCCTCGCAAAATTCGCCTCAAAAAGAAGCCCATCACAAAGTGAAGCTGATGGGCTTCTTTTCAAGATAGCATAGGTTTCTTTTCGAGATAGTGCAGTACATACACTGTACATGAATTTCAAAAACAAAATAAATTAAAAACAAGCTTTGTACAGTAGTTTAGGTGATTTAATGCCAGTTAAATGCACTCCCTGATACAAATTTATGTTAAAGTGGCCTTATTTATTGTTTTATAGGATAAATTCACAAAATTTACAGTATTCATTTTTCAAGAAGCCCCCACTCTTTACTTCGTAAAAGTAGCTTCGAAATTAAGCCCATCCAAAATTTGCAATAAAAAGAAGCCCAGGGCTTCAATTCGAGGTTTTACGGTATATACTGGGCTTATGCAAGTGATTCTATAAAATAAAGGCATAAATATAGACCTGTTTAAAAAATATTCATTTAGTCATACAAAAATGTATACCTTTCTTTTCCATTTTGTATGTACAGTATTGATATAAATGAACTATAATTAATCTATTAACCAATCGTAAAGTATTAATAATAAACTAATTGAAAGAGCCAATACATGTCTAATGTACTGCTTGTATAATAAACCATCATGGAATTATAAGAACAAGGTATTCAAGTAAAATTGTATGGGTGCTGTTGAGTAATAAATGTTTTTAGGTGTTATTTTTTTCTACTGATAATTTAAATAAATTTGTTATCACAAATTTAGTATATAATATGTTTGTATTATAATCGTTGTCAATTATCATATTACTTGTCTATTAATTTTTAGATTTGATATGAAAATTGTTATTGAAAATATTTTCTTTATTGTTGTTGATATAATTATTATTGTTACTGTTTGTACTGGTTAATTTTGTTGGTTGATAATTTTTTCCCATCTTCATCAACAGCTAAAGGGTAAGAAGATAATAGGGAAGGAGAGCCAGTCAGCAATCTCATTGGGATTGGATGATGAAGCTTTGGTGAAGGTGAAAGTGGTTAAACGACCAGAAGCAGCAGCATCAAATAATGTTGAGGAAGAGGATGAGCAACTGGATGAAGCTACTCTACAGGTAAGAAAATTATTGTGTTTGTGGCAATAGATATTATGCTGATACAGTAGTTGTGGTTTGCTGTGGTGATGATAGTAGTACTAAAGGTGGATTTGGTAATTGTAGTCATGATGTTAGGTATACTCCTTTCAAGACACTATTCAATAATCGAGGGTCCCACGACTTCCAGGAGTGGGAATCTCCTGGAAATCAGGACGTTCTCCCACAAGCATGCACAAATCTCCAGAAAAATGACTGGCCTTCCTCAATTCATAATATTTGCACATTTTTAATACTTCATTTATCGATTGTCTCGCAGAAATCGGTGACGATGGATATCACCATGCGCAGAAAAATAAAATTGAATGTATTAAGAAAGCTCATTTAACCACATCTCCCAGAAGTAACGTCTTCCAACTTGGGACCCCTGTGTAATTATAAAAGTGAAGAAAAATAATGATAATGATATGATAGGATAGTGGCATGATATGATATAAATAAAAGATGTTTATTAATACGTATATACTGATGCATAAATATTGTTTTACCACTACAGGAGCTGTTGAGTAGTTTTGTTGTAGAGGCAGGGAACAATGTTGAGGTAGTGTTCTCATTTGACACCACCGGCAGCATGTCTGCCTGCTTGGACCAGGTGAGTTAGAATATAAAAATAATATATTATAATAATACTATTCCTTGAATCACCTAAAATATTATTAATATTATTATTGTTATAAGTATAGTAGTATTATTATAGAATGTTTCCCAAAATTTATTTATTTTTCTATTGTTTAATATGAAAGAATAAATGTTGTTGATGTTTTAGATTGTAATCTAGTCATTAAAAGTTCCTATTGCATTGTATGCATAGGAACTAAAAATTGGTATATCTAGCATTTCTTGTAGATTATGAAGAACAAAATAATTGCTTTGTATTAATTTTGAATTAATCATTCTTAATACATGGTGCATACACTCAGAAATGAATCTGTCTGTTCTTTGTCTGAGTGCTTGTCCAATGGAATGCTGTCTGCAAACCATTTATGGCAGTCTAATAGGATCAATGTTGAAAACTATCCGTCACACTTGCCTTGACATGTTGCGATCTCCAGAATTGAATTGGCTGATACAGCACTGTTGGCGAGGATTTACCTAAAACCACAAATCTCTGGTGGAAACAAAGATTATTATGTACTTAAAAAGAATTTTTAATTGAATTTGTGTAATGTAAACATATTTTTTAAATTATGCCTGCAGGTCCGTTCAAAGGTTGAGGAAACAACAAGCCGTCTGCTTCGAGATATTCCCAATATCAGGATCGGCATTATGGCACATGGGGATTATTGTGATCAAAGCACTTATGTGTTAAGAACGTGTGATCTGACAGACAGCCGGCGTAAGCTCATTCGATTCATTAATGACGTCCCATCGACTGGTGGAGGTGATTCTCCAGAGGTAAAATTAACTTTTTTTCCAGCCATTTATTTTTATCCTAAATATTAAGTTTTTTAATTACTGTAAAGATATATTACAGTTTCTTTCTACTAAAGTATTCAATATTGCCACATTCTTATGTTAGTTACTCAGTTTAATAGTTAGCGAGAGTATGCTGTTTTTTTCAACACAACCCTCAAATAGAAATGAACTAGCTGTTGACAATTTCTCTTTCATTTAACTACAGTGTTATGAATGGGTGTTGAAGAAAGCACAAGAGTTAAGCTGGACCGAAGGATCTGCCCGAGCCTTGGTGATGATAGGGGATGATGTGCCCCACCCTCCATCTTACACAGATCAACATATCAACTGGCATACAGAGCTTGATAGATTAAGAGATATGAACATCAAGGTATTACAGAGTTCCTATAACAGTGACTTTTATATGACACAGCTTGATTATCTTTTAGCATAGATTATTTTACCACATGTTTATTTAACTACATTTTCTGTTTGGCTTTGTTAAATAAACATAATATGTACCACTTGATACTGATGCATTTATTTCTTGGATTACAGGTGTACGGTGTGCAAGCCATGCACGGCTCTACCTCTAATTTATTCTATGAGGAGCTGGCGGAGCGAACAGCTGGTACCTATTTGAAATTTACGCAGTTCAGTTATATAACGGACATGTTCCTTGCAGGTAAGCTTTGAACTCGCTATTAAATGATAGAACAAAATGAAAAGATATGAAAGAGAAAAGACAATAATAGTTATATAATTTAAGTTGCATTACCATTTCTGAATCTTACTGAAACTGGCTGTCTTGCAAACAGGCATCTAACTAATTTGAAGCCTGCTTTTAAGTTTTTATGGATGTTGAGGATTTAAATATCATGAACTCTCTATTTATGCTCATTGACCTTTAGTAAATGCTCAATGACCTTTGGATACACATGCAACTGATGTTCACCAAGCTTTAGATTTTACTGTATATGCAACAACCCTATATACCGTGTAACTTATGCTCGTTGACAATTTTGTACTGTACATACAACTGGTGCTCACTGAGCTTTAAATTGCACTTTACATGTAGACACAACCCTATATACCATGTAACTAATGCTCATTGACCTTTGGATACACATGTAACTGATGCTCACTGACCTTTAATAATAATAATAATAGTGTAGTTTTATATAGCGCACAAATCCATCTAATGTAAGATGCTCAGGGCGCTTGAAATGTGGACTAGTGTCTCAATCGATGACTTTCTTCGCCCCTAAGGGTCCCTTCATGAAATCACTTTTTATGCAACTGATGCTCACTGAATTTTAGACACACTGTACATGCAACTGTACAATGCAAATGGTGCTCACTGATCTTTGGAATCATTGTATATGCAACTGATGCTCACTGACCTTTGGGTGCACTGTACATGCAACTGATGCTCCCTGACCTTTGGGTGCACTGTACATGCAACTGATGCTCCCTGACCTTTGGGTGCACTGTACTTACAGCTGATGCTCACTCACCTTTGGGTGCACTGTACATGCAACTTATGCTGACCTTCAAATAATGCTTATTGACCTTTGAACACAATGTACATTCTACTGATGCTTTGATATGGGAGACTTGTGAATTAAATTTGTGTTTTTCTTTATTTATTAGTTTGCTACCGTGAGTCTTCAGATGAAAAGCTTCAAGCTTACTGTGAGGAAGTGAAGAATGATGGAAGAATGACAGAAGAACTCAGCAGCATGTTTGTTAAACTAGAAGAAAAACCAACAGCTCCCCCTGTAGAAAGCAATGTGAGTATAGAATTTATGAAACAAAATTGTATATATTCAGATTGAACAAATGTAGAAATTAGATAGACAATATTTAAGTCAGTCAGTAAACATTATTTGTTTCTTTGTAGAATGAAAGGTATGTTGCTAGGCCATGGTGGGATCCAAGTCTTGATAATGGTCAACCTCAATATACTTATGATGAGGCAAAGGACAAATGGTCAACGTTTGAGAGTGAAAGTTGTTATACATCCAGTGGTATGTGTATTTTGTATTTATTTTCTTGAGTGGATATGGGTATACACCCAAAATACTGCAAAATTTTTCATGAATCTGTAATAGAAAAAAAAAAATTAAATTATCATCATTTATAAGATTCCCATGCCTTATTATTTGGTTGTTTACATGGCTGTTGCTCACCACATGCTGGGTAAAACTTTCCAACAGAGTTCTATATTTAGCTTTGCTTGAAACTCCATGTTTTTACTATGTTACTCTGCCTATATAAAAAAATAAGATTTAAAATGATCTTTTATTTCATTGATTTAGAATTGATTTGACATGATATAATTGTCCGATGTATCTATGTTTCTATTCCTCTTCATTACAGTTGCACCTAATAATGGACGGAAATTTCTCTCTTTCCGAAGAAGCAAACGTAGCAATACAAGAGCGTCTGGGTCAAAGTCCAAGGGAATGTGTGGTATCATGTAATAATTTCAACCTGCTTGTTGTAGGTAGATACTAGGGGAGCTTTTGATTGCACAATGATTGCAGGATGTAGAACATAATAACCACGGAAATTCATCTGCAAATGCGAAAACGTTGAGTTCTTGAGGTCGTATGGATTCTAGGATGCAATTTAATCAAATCTATGTTGTGCAGAGGATGTAGGACATTCGTGCATGAGTGAATCCATTCAAGCATTGCATAATTGCGTAAATCGTAAGCTCCCTAGTACTGGAATTCATAGAACTTAATGTTATAAACTGAAATTGATTCAGATTTAACATGGTTTGTAATATGTTTTGCATGCTTCAATTTATACTTGAAGAGAAAACAAAATTGTTTTTTTGTATGAATACATAAAATATATGTGTGAAAAATATATATATATATATATGTTCCAGCTAAATTATTTTGGAAACTAGAAGGACTTGGTGTCACATTTGTTGACCTTTCAATTTTTTTTTCCACTGGTTTAAAGCTTTGTCCAGATTATCAAATTTTAATTGACAAAAAACTGTATTGATGTCCGTATATATTCATGATGTGTTCAGTTTAGTTCAGTATTTATTTCACAAATTAATAAAATATAAATAATGAAACAAAAAAAAAACAATTTGTTGTGAAACCAATAAATGAGCTAGGCTTGTACAACTAATTGGCCACCTTTACAATGAAAAAATAAAATTCAATAAAATATATATTTTTAAATCAAAATAATTAATAAAAAATAAAGTAAAAATGTTAAAAGAAGTGCAGGACAAAGACAAAAAGTACAGACAGCTCGGAACAAACATCAAACAGCCAAGCCAGTATAGAAAATGTGTGTCATCATGACCATATTTAGGCTTGTCACATGCGTTTGTGAAATAAAATTTGAGAGTCTGGCCAGGGCTTTAGTATTGTGCATGGTAGAACAATTTGGATAAACATAATCAGGATGGTTTTGTTATGGAGGCATTAACAGCGTAACTAATTCATGAATTATTTTTTACTCTAAGGTTCATTTTTGTAACATTTTTAGGAACAGAGGAAGTTTTATAACTTTCAGCTATCTAGTCTTTTTTCTTTTTTTTTGGAACTTACCTAAAACATGTAAGAGAGCACTAGCACTCTTTTGGGTCAAATTTATATATTTATTCCTATATATTTATTTATTCATTTTATATTTGTTTAGGAC